GTGCGCGCCCTCGAGGAGCACGCGGCGGCGAAGGAGGCAGCGCAGGCAGCGGCGAGGGCGGTGGAGAGTGCGGCGGCAGAGGCGGAGGCGGCGCGGCATGCCGAGGCGCTGCTGGCGGAGGAGGAGGCGGAGAAGGAGGCGGGGCGCGCCAAGGAGAGCAAGAAGGGGAAGAAGAAGAAGAAGAAGGGGAAGGGTGGTGGGGGTGGCGCTGGGCCGTCGCAGGGGCTGTCCGAGGATGAGGCAGCGCTGGCGGCGGCGGAGGAGGTGGAGTTCGAGGAGAGCGCGAGGCTGGAGGACGAGACGAGGCGCCCAGCGGGGGAGCAGGCGCCTCCCGCCGGGTCGACCAGCGACCCTCCACTCAGGACTGAGGAGCAGCCCGTTGCGGCGCTCTCGCTAGCCGACGCCAACTTCGACACGGGTCGCGCAGCGGTCCCCGAGTCCACCCTGGGCGGCGAGACCACCTGCATAGTTTGCTTCACTCGGCCGAAGGATCACGTCGCGATCCCTTGCGGGCATCAGTGCGCGTGCGGCGACTGCTCCGCTAAGATGGAGCAGTGTCCTATCTGCCGCCAGTCGGTGCTTATGTGGATGGACTCATCGCGCATTCGCCTGGCGTGACCGTGAGGAGCTGAAACTTGAGAGGGCCTAGAGCTAGAGCAGTGAAGTGCACTTTTTCAAGCTCAATCGCCAGGCCACTAAGACACCTGCCGTAACAGAGCGAGCGAGCGCGCGCGCGCGCGAACACACAGTGTGCAGGGTACAGCCACGCGAAAAGCCGTACACGGCTCTTGCGTCAACAGAGACGACACCTCTTGCTTACGTCTAGGGCGATGAGAGACGAGCAGCCATGTCCATGGCCGCCGATATGCATTTGCCAATTACCTGTGGTAGTACCTCGGAGCGCGCACCCATCGGAGACAGTGCGCTGCGCGCCCCTCACGCCGCGAGAACGCAAGCGACGACGGGGCTTGCGCTGGAGTCAGCGGGGAGCGACTTGGGCTCGGCGCGTGGGGGCTTCCCGCCCGCGGCCAAGCGCCAGAGCTGAGGGCAGAGCCACGCGCTGGCGCAAAAGGGCCCGAGGGAGAGGGCGGCGCCGAGAGCGGGCAGCAGCGTCTCGCCGGTGGCGGCGGCGAGGTTGAGGCTGCGGAGGAGGAGGAGCAGGTTGCACGCAGGCAGGGCGCGCCGCAGCAGGGGGCCCGCCGCCCGTCCCAGGCCGCCTTGCGCGCTCCACCGAGCGAGCGCCGCCGCGGCGGCGGTGTCGCCGCGGCGGGACGCGTCCATGGAAGCGTCCGCGGACGCGTCCAGCGGTCCGTCGTCGGAGGCTGCTCGCACCGAGAGTGCGAGGAGGCCGTGAACGGCGCCGATGGAGGCGTAGGTGAGCACCATGAAGGGGGCGATGGAGGGGATGGTGCGCATGCGCTCCGAGACGGCGCGTGGCGAGCGCGCGAGGTCGTCGGCGATGAAGGCGAGCGGGAAGAGGAGGAGGCAGGCGCACCTGCGTCACGAGTGCGGCCGTCCCTCCGCGCTCTCCGTGCGCACACCGCGTATCCCAAAGCCCTCGGCCTCTCTCCGTGTCTCCGTGTGTCTCTGTGTTTTCCGTGACCCCCACACCGCACCCCCAGCCCTCGGTCTCCCCATGTCTCCTCCGTGCGCGCGCACGCCCGCACCCTGGGTACCTCCTGTGCGTTGGGGTGGGGTCCGAACTGGTTTCTCTTTAGAACTAGAGGATCTCGGTAAATTTGTCTACCGTAGAAATCGGAGGTATGCCTTAGACCCCGTTAGAATCTCCGCTACTATCCAGAGGGTCAATGTTCTGCT